TCAGCAAAGTGGGAACAGAGGGAGCATATTTCAACATGATAAAGGTCATTTATGACAAACCTACAGCAAACATCATACTCAATAGGCGAAAACTAAAAGCATTTCCCCCAAGAACAGGAACAAGACAGAGATGTTCACTTTCACCACTCTTATTCAACATAGTACTGGAAGTCTTAGCCACAGCAATCAGACAAGAAGAAATAAAAGGCATCCAAATTGGAAAGAATGAAGTAAAACTCTCATTATTTGCAAACGACATTATATTGTACGTAGAAAACCCCAAAGCCTTAGCCGGTATGGCCCAGTGGATAGAGCATCGGCCTGGGGACTGAAGAGTCCTGAGTTTGATTCCTGTCAAGGGCACATGCCCAGGCTGCTGGCTTGATCGCCAGTATGGGGTGTGCAGGAGGCAGTAGTCAATGATTCTCTCTCATCATTAATGATTCTATCTCTTTCTCCCTCTCCCTTCCTCTCTGAAATCAATAAAAATATTTTTTTAAAAGAAAACCCTAGAGACTCCACCGAAAAACTAATAGCTTTAATAAATGAATTTGGCAATGTAGCAGGATACAAAATCAACACCCTAAAATCAACAGCTTTTTTATACACTAATAATGAATTCACAGAAAGAAAAACTAGGCAAATAATTCCATTTACCACTGCAAAAAAAAATTAATATACTTAGGAATAAACTTAACCAAAGAGGTAAAACTCTGAAAACTACAGGACATTGAAAAAAGAGATAGGAGATATAAACAAGTGGAAGAATATACCATGTTCATGGATTGATAGAATCAACATCATTAAAATGTCCATACTACCCAAAGCAATCTACAGATTCAATGCAATCCCTATTAAAATACCAATGGCATACTTCACAAATATACAACAAATACTCCAAAAAATGTATATGGAACCAAAAAAGACCCCAAAGAGCTGCAGCAATCTTGAGAAAGAAGAAAAAAGTTGGAGGAATCACAATACCAAATATCAAGTTATACTACAAAGCCACTGTAATCAAAACAGCCTGATACTGGCACAAGAACAGGCATATAGATCAACGGAACAGAACAGAGAATCCAGAAATCAACCCAAGCCAATACACTCAATTAATATTTGAAAAAGGAGGCAAGAGTATACGATGGATTCAAGACAGTCTCTTCAATAAATGGTGTTGTAAAATTGGACAGATAGCCCTAACCAGTTTGGCTCAGTGAATAGAGCTTTGGCCTGCAGACTAAAGGGTCCCAGGTTCAATTCTGGTCAAGGACATGTACCTTGGTTGTGGGCACATCCCCAGTAGGGGGTGTACAGGAAGCAGCTGATCAATGTTTCTCTCTCATTGATGTTTCTAACTTTCTATCCCTCTCCCTTCCTCTCTGTAAAAATATCAATAAAATATATTTTAAAAAAAAACAAATTTTAAAAATTGGACAGATACATGCAAAAAATATGAAACTAGACCACCAACTTATACCATACACAAAAATAAACTCAAAATGGATAAAAGACAAATGTAAGTCATGAAACCATAAAAATCCTAGAAGAAACTATAGGCAGCATAATCTCAGACATCTCTCATAGCAATATGTTTATTGCTATGAGAGATACACCTCCTAGGGCCGTGGTCAGCAAACTGTGGCTCGCGAGCCACATGCGGCTCTTTGGCCCCTTGAGTGTGGCTCTTCCTAAGCCTTAGGAGTGCTCTAATTAATTTAATAACAATGTACCTACCTATATAGTTTAAGTTTAAAAAATTTGGCTCTCAAAAGAAATTTCAATCATACTGTTGATATTTGGCTCTGTTGACTAATGAGTTTGCCGACCACTGTCCTAGCGCAAAGGAAACTAAAGAGAAAATAAACAAATGGGACTACATCAAAATTAAAAGCTTCTACACAGCAAAAGAAACCATCAACAAAACAAAAAGAGAGCCCACTGCATGGGAGAACATATTTGGCAATGATACATCTGAAAAAGGGTTAATACCCAAAATATATAAGGAACTCATACAATTTAACAAAAGGAATACAAACAATTCAATTAAAAAAATGGGCAAGGGCCGAAACCGGTTTGGCTCATGGATAGAGTGTCGGCCTGCGGACTGAAAGGTCCCAGGTTCGATTCCGGTCAAGGGCATGTACCTGGGTTGCGGGCACATCCCCAGTAGGAGGTGTGCAGGAGGCAGCTAATCGATGTTTCTCTCTCATCGATGTTTCTAACTCTCTATCTCTCTCCCTTCCTCTCTGTAAAAAATCAATAAAATATATTTTAAAAAAAAAATGGGCAAGGACCTTAGCAGGTTTGGCTCAGTGGATAGAGTGTTGGCCTGAGGACTGAAGGGTCCCGGGTTTGATTCCAGTCAAGGGCATGTACCTCAGTTGCAGGCTCCTTCCCAGCCCGGGTCCTGGTTGGGGTACAACAGGAGGCAACCAATCGAAGTGTTTTTCTCACATTGATATTTCTCTCTGTCTTTTCCTCTCTCTTCCACTCTCTCTAAAAGTCAATGAAAAAATATCCTCGGGTGAGGATTTTTTAAAAGTGGGCAAAGGACCTAAGTAGACATACGGATGGCCAAGAGGCATATGAAAAAAATGCTCAAAGTCCCTGATCATCACAGAGATGCAAATTAAAACAACAATGAGGTACCACCTCACACCTTTCAGATGGCTACCATCAACAAATTAACAAATGACAAGTGCTGGTGAGGATGTGGAGAAAAGAGAGTCCTAGTACACTGCTGGTGGGAATGCAGACTGGTGCAGCCACTATGGAAGACAGCATGGAGTTTCCTCAGAAAATTAAATATGGAACTCCCATTTGACCCTGTGATCCCACTTCTAGGAATACATCCTAAGAAACCCAAAACACCAATCAGAAAGAATGTAGGCACCCCTATGTTCATAGCAGCACAATTCACCATAGCTAAGATCTGGAAACAGCCTAAGTGCCCATCAGTAGATGAATGGATTAGAAAACTGTGGTACATCTACACGATGGAATACTATGCTGCTGTAAAAAAGAAGGAACTCTTACCATTTGCAACGGCATGGATGGAACTGGAGAGCATTATGCTAAGTGAAATAAGCCAGTCAATGAAGGAAAAATACCACATGATCTCACTCATTCATGGATAATAGAGACCATTATAAACTTTTGAACAATAATAGATACAGAGGCAGAGCTGCCTCAAACAGATTGTCAAACTGCAGCGGGAAGGCCGGAAAGGGTTGGGGGGCAGGAGGGAGGGTGGTAAGAGATCAACCGAAGGACTTGTATGCATGCATATAAGCATAACCAATGGACATAAGACACTGGGGGGTAGGGGAGGCTAGGGGACTGTCAAGGGCGGGGGGAAAAAAAGGACACATATGTAATACCCTTTGTAATACTTTAAGCAATAGATGAGTGAATAAAAAAATCTGTGGTACGTTTATATCATGGAATACTATGCAGCAGCAAAAAAGAAGGATCTCTTACCCTTTGAGACAGCATGGAGGGACTGGAAAGTATCATGCTAAGTGAAATAAGTCAGTCAGAGAAAGACAAGTATCACATGATAGCACTCATATGTGGAATCTAAGTAACAAAATAAACTGATAAATGGAGTGGATCCAGAGACATGTAAGCATGGAACAGAGTGAGGAATCTCAGAGGGAAGGCAGGGAGGGTAGGTGGGTAGGAGGTAAACAACCAAAGACCTAGTGTGCACATATGCATAACCCATGGATACAGATAATAGGGTGGAGAAGGCCTGGGGAGTGGGAAGGGGCAGGCTGGAAGGGGTCAATGGAGGGGAAAAAGGGACATATGCAATACTTTCAACAATAAAGATTAATTTTAAATCAATCAATCAATCAATCAATCCATGTGTTTGGAAAGTTTAGAACATGTTTCCAAATAATTCATGGGTTAAAAATATAGACTCGTGGAAACTTTAAAATATTGAGAATTGAATAATAATTAAAATATTAAAGATCAAAATCTGTGGGATTCAGTGAAGACAGTACTTAAAGGAAAACTTATGGCCTTAAATTTGTATGTTATATGATATGTCCAGAATAGGCAAATCTATGGAGACAGAAAGTAGAATCATGGAGGATGGAGGGGCAGTGGAGGGGAGATGGAGAGTGATAGCTAATGGATACAGGGTTTCTTTTGGGCGTGATAAAATATTTTAAGGTTGATTGTAGTATTCGTAGCACCATGCTGTGAATATACTAAAAAAATATTTAATAGTATATTTTAAATAGGTAAGTTGTTTAGTATATGAATTGTCTCTCAATAAAGCTGTTATTTTTAAATCTTATGTTAGAATAAAATAAAGGCAAAATATGAATAAGCTAAGCATCCTAATTAAGAAGTTATAAAAAGACCAACAGAATAAACCTAATAACAGAAGAATGAAAAAGACAAGAGCAGAAATAGATGAAATAGAAAGCAAAAATACATTAGATAGTATCAACAAAGCCAAATGATGGTCCTTCCAATGGCATCAGAAAAAAAGGCAAATCTTGGTAAGAGTAATCAAGAAAGAACAGTGTAAATAAACAATATTAGCAATGAACAAAAAAGCATAATAATTAATAAACAGATATTTTAAAGATATGAAGATACTATGGTTAACTTTATGACAGTGAATTTGAAAACATGGATGAAATCATGGATGGATTCCTTGAAAAACAGAACTTACCAAAATTGACTCAAAATAAAAACCCAAAGGGTCTTATAATGATTGAGGAAATTAAATCAGTTTAAAAGTCCTCGGCCACCCAAATAGGCTCCGATTGAAAAGATAATCCCAGTCTTATACAAATAACAAAAATCAATATTATTAAAAACATTTTATGGAACTAGAGATAACCTTAATATCAAAACCAGACAAAGTATTTTTTGGGGAAAAAAGCTATACATAAACCTCACTTATAAACATAGATGTGAAAATTTTAAGCAAAATACCAGCAAGTAGAATCCAGCAATATATAAAAAATATGGCATGATCAATGTTGGAATGTATAATTGCCTTAACATTTAAAGAAATCTATCAAAGCTTGATTGACACATTCTAGCATTTATATGGAAGTATTAAGAATCAGAAAGAGCTGTGTCAATTTTGAAAAAAATAAGTATAAAGAGAAGAGACTAATTCTACCAGATAGTAAGATACCCTACAAAACAATATATAGTAGCCAGGGTAACAATAGGCTATGCTGCAGTACCCAATAAACCCCAAACTTTTAGTAAAGTAAAACAAGTTTTATTTCTTGATTACATAAAAGTTCATGAGTTGTTGGGCAGCTCTTCAGTCTTCTATGCAGTTACTCAGTGATTCAGGCTTCTTCTATCTATCTTGTGGCTCCTCCATCTCAAATGTGGCCTTCAAGCTGCTTTGTCTTAGAAGTCATCAACATTACTTTTCCTTATAGTACCGTCTTCAGATCTAGTCACATGGCCCCAATCTAAATGAAAGGCAGGCTAGGGAAGTAGAGAAGTACAAAGATCATTTGGTGAGTACTAGCTGCACCTGCCATATCATGCTAACAAAAGTAATATGGAATAAATACATAAATGGAAAGTCTTAGATACAAAGACTTTACTTAATGTAGCAACTTAATATACTATAAAATTGGCACCACAAACAAATGGAGAAAAGATGAACTATTTAGTATATGGTTTGGGAAGAAGGGCTCACCATTTGAAGAAAAATAAAACTGGACCCCTGCCTACCACCAAATACAAATCTGAACTCCAGAGGACAAAAAAAACAAAAACAAAAAAAACAAAAACAAAACAAAACAAAAAAAACTAAATATGAAAACTAAAATTATGAAGTTAATAAAAGACAATATAGGAGCCCTGGCCAGTGTTGCTCAGTTGGTTGAGCATAGTCCCATTCACCAAAAGGTGACTGGTTCGATTCTGGGTCAGGACACATGCCTGGGTTGTGGGTTCGATCCCAAGTAGAGGGCATGCTGGAGGCAGCCTATCAATGTTTCTCTCTCAGCAATGTTTCTATATCTCTCCCTCTCCTTTTTCTCACTCTAAAATCAATAAAACATATTTTTAAAAAGATAATATAGGAGAATATCTTTGTGACTTAGAATTGAATAACCATTTCTTAACTAAACCTTAGAAGTACATGCCTAAGGCAAAAAAAGATTAATAGTTTTGATTACATAAAAATAAGAATTTCTGTTAAATGAAGGACACTATAAGCAATTTAATAGATGACAGAAAAATGATATTTGCAGTATCTTAGACTAGCAAAGGATTAATATCTAACATATGTAAAGTACTCTTGCAAATCCAAAAAGACAGGAATACACCACCATAAATTGACAAAATATATGAAAAGTATACTCAGAAAGAAAACCAAAATGCTTAGGAATACATGAAGAGATGCTCAAACTCATTATTAATGAGATAATTGCTAATTAAAAGACAATTACAAATACATTTACACTTATTTGGCTGGCAATTAGAAAGCTGGGGCATGTCAATTGTTAATGACAGTGCAAGATATAGAAATTCCAACATACACAGTTGATTACATTTTATTCTGAAGCTTCTATTCCAAAAAGCAACCTAACAGTACTTAATTAAATTAATTATACATGTGCCCTATGGCCCAACAATCCCATTTATTTTGTATATATTCCAGAAAGCTTCTCACACAAGTCCATAAGGGGACATGAATGAAGACTTTCATCACAGTGTTTTAGGTAGTAGGGAGTTGGAATTCAGTCTAGATTCTGTTTCTAGGAAAATGAATAAGTAAATTAGAGTCAGTAAACACTATTATATATCATACAACAGCTAGAAACTAAATACTACATGTACAGAGTAACATGTAACATTTTTTTTAAAATACCACTAAATGGAAAATAAACAGAATGAGAACCACAGCACCATACTTAAACTAAGTCATGCATAAAAATAATATAAAGTTTAAAAGAACTCAGACAAACAAAAATATACATATCAAATATATTATTTTTTTATTAAGTTATTACATATGTGTCCTTATCCCCACATTACCCCCCATTCCCCCCACTCATGCCCTCACCCCCCTGTTGTCTGTGTCCATTGGTTAGGCCTATATGCTGGCATATAAGTCCTTTGGTTGATCTCTCCCCCTTACCCCCACCCTCCCCTACCTTCCCTCTGAGGTTTGATGGTGTGATTAATGCTTCTCTGTCTCTGGATCTGTTTTTGTTCATCAGTTTATGTTGTTCATTATATTCCACAAATGACTGAGATCATGTGATATTTACCTTTCTCTGACTGGCTTATTTCACTTAGCATAATGCTCTCCAGTTCTATCCATGCTGTTGCAAATGGTAAGAACTCCTTCTTTTTTACCACAGCTTAGTATTCCATTGTGTAGATGTACCACAGTTTTTTAATCCACTCATCTACTGATGAGCACTTAGGTTGTTTCCAAATCTTAGCTATGGTGAATTGTGCTTCTATGAACATAGGGGTGCATATATCCTTTCTAATTGGTGTTTCTAGTTTCTTGGGCATATCAAATATATTAGAACAGCTGCCTGTGGGGAGGAAAAAATTGAGGAATAGAGACGAAAGAAAATAAAGTAGTGGAAAACAGTATGGAGTGTCCTCGAAAAATTAAAAATGGAACTGCCATTTGACCCAGTGATCCCACTTCTAGGGATATATCTTAAGAATCCCAAAACACCAATCAGAAAGAATATATGTACCCCTATGCTCATAGCAGCACAATTTACAATAACTAGGATTTGGAAACAGTCTAAGTGTCCATCAGTAGATGAGTAGATTTAAAAAAGCTGTGGTACATTTACACCACGAAATACTATGCAGCTATAAAAAAAGAAGAATCTCTTACCCTTTGAGACAGCATGGAGTGACCTGGAGAGTATTATGCTAAGCGAAATAAGCCAGTCAGAGAAATACAAGTATCATATGATCTCACTCATATGTGGAATCTAGTGAACAAAATAAACTAATGAACAAAATGGATCCAGAGACATAGAAGCATGAAACAGACTGATGAATCTCAGAGGGAAGAGGGTGGAAAGAGATCAACGAAATAACTTATATGCATATATGCATAACCCATGGACACAGATAATTGTGTTGTGAAGGCCTGGGGAGGGGATTGGGAGCAGGGTGGAGGGGGTTAATGGGGAGGGGGAAGGGATATCTGTAATACTTTCAACAATAAAGATAATTTTTAAAAGGAAATAAAGTAGTAAATAAATGAATAAAGAAAAGAGGAAAAGGATTTTATTAGACCAATGTAGATGTTATGATATGAAGGAAGGAATATGATTAGTGTAATAATCATCATTACCTAACTGGCTAAAACTGTTATTAGAAAAGACTCAAAAATAATATGACTTTATTTATTTTTATTGAATTTATTGGGGTGACATTGGTTACTAGGATCATATAGGTTTCAAGTGTGGATTTCTATGTTATAAGATTTGTATATTGGACTGTGTGCCCACCACCCAAAGTCAAACCATCTTTTGTCATCATATATTAGAGAAAATAGTATGATTTTACAAAAATTATTTCTCACTCACAAAAGAGTCTCAAGTTAATGTCCCAGCTCAGGAGGGAGGTTCTGCTTCATAGGACCATTCAGGATCCGGGTTCATTTTATCTTGCACTCCTCTCTCCTCTAGGTACTTAGTGTTCTCTCCATTTGGCTGGTGCATAAGAAAAGAGAGAGCACAGATCAAGCATGAAGACGTTTTATGAGGGAAAATCTGGAAGTGACAGACATCACTTCTGCCACAATTTATTGTCTAGAACTCAGTTCTATGGCCACATTTATTATAAAGGAAAGTGACCATTCTCATATAGCTGGGTACCCAGGACAAAATAGACAGTATGGATACTGGAGAGCACTAACAGTTTTTGCCACCATGGGCAAGAGCTTTGTGGAAGAAATTATAAAGTGTTATTAAGAGAAATTAATAATCTAGGATGTTGGTTTTAGCATCTGCTTTCTCTGACTATGTGCAACAGTTTTCAAATGTTTTCAGCCTCATTAATACCTTTCTCATGGCTGGTCCCCTCCACCTTTAATCCCACAGGAGGGAGGAATCAGGCAGGGATTGGAGTAAGAGCGTGGGCAGGAGGTCAATAATAGAGTCAGGGAATAAACATGAGATTTGTACTTCCTCATATTTTCTGATACTATTGCAACCTTAAAAAATAAGGATTTCCCAGCCAGTGTGGCTCAGTGGTTGAGCATCAACCTATGAACCAGGAGATCATGGTTTGATTCCAGGTCAGGGCACATGCTGGGATTTCGGGATCAATCCCCAGTGGGGGGTAGGGGGCATGCAGGAGGCAGCCGAGCAGTGATACTCTCTCATCATTGATTTTTCTACATCCCCCTCCCTCTCCCTTCCTCTCTGAAATATATATATATTCAGCATGCAATCATTTTGCCATCAGGAAAAAGCAATAAAGTTATTTTCACTAAAAATAACAAGAAATAAATGTTAAGAAAAATTGATCATTACAAATATTTCCAACTTAAGAGAAGGCTTCATGCAAGTTCATTAGTCCAATTAAATTTTACAGTTGCATTTTTTTCTACATAAGAAGTGTCTGTAAGCATTCTAAGGTATTTGTTAGGTTTTTAGACTGAATCCTTCTAAACAATGAAATTCAACTCTTGGCAAAGGGAAGAGCTATGAGGCCAAGGCAGCTGAGAGTGTGAGGGATGCAGAGACAGTCTGATCCTTCCTGTCTTGCCAAGATGGAGGGAAGGTGCTGTCTTCTGATCCCCTCCCATATTCCAGAGCCCCTTATTCTTTTCAGTCAGGCATCTGACTCTGTTGCTCACTCCAAATATATATATATATATGAACTAGAGGCCTGATGCATGAAATTCGTACAAGAGTAGGCCTTCCTTCCCCCGGCGGCCAGCACTGGCTTCCCTCTGGCACCCAGGACCTGGGCTTCCCTCTGGCCACCGGCAGGCACCAGGGACCCAGGCTTCCCTCGCAGCCCTGGCTTCATCTGGAAGGACGTCTAGCTTAATTAGCTTATTATGCTTTTATTATTATAGATATGTGACTAAGGTGGTGACCTGAGTAAATGCCTTTGGCCACTTACCTCCCTCTCCCAAATTCCCATAGAGATAACTCAGCTCCAGCACAGATGGGAGCACTGGTCTCACCAATGAAAACCAAAATGGGATTCCTCCTAGACCCCTGAAGCTGAAGGTATCCATGAAGACTGGAGAAGTTTTGCTCTGAGGAAGAGCCCCCACACACACACACTTGATTCTTCTCTATTTTTATTCATGGTGTCTCCCTGGACCATGTCTGCTGCCTCCGATCTGGTCTGAGGAGTGCCGCCTGCTAGGTCTCTTATCTCCATTTTCCAGGGAACTCAGAAGGAGCCTAGCCTGACTACAGAGTTGTTGCCTGCCAGTCCACCTCCTCCCTGTTGGCCCCTCAGCCAGGATTAGTCCAGTATCCAAGAAACTCACACCCACTGACTGTGCTGATTGCCCTAGACCAGTTGTTTTCTGGCCAAGTTCAAAGACAACTGAAAGTATATATAAGGCTGTGTATTGTGAATGAAGGGATGCCATGTATGTGGGTTTTTCAGGAGAGAGAAGCTATAATTACCAACACATTCTTAATGGGAAGTGTGACCCTCAAATATATTAGAAATCACTGGCCCAGAAGGTCTATGCTCATATTTGTCCTAAATAGGATAATTTATTATCTTTTAATAATGAAATTAATAGTCATGAAAAGGAACCAAAATGGCAGTGCAGGTAAACACTTATACTTGCTGCCTCCCACAACCACATCAAAATTATAACTAAAAATACAGAACAACCATCATTCAAAACTGCCTGAAAGCTAGCTGAATGAAAGTTCTACAACTAGAGAAGTAAAGAAGAAAGCACATTGAGGCTGGTAGGAAGGGCAGAGGCTCGGAGGTACGGAATGGACTGGTCTGGCATCCATGTGTGGCATTTCTTTAATAAGGAGGGATATCTCCCAGGCCTCCTGTGAGAAGCAGAGAATCCCAGTCCCACACCAAACCCTCAGCCCAGGGCTCCAGAGCTGGAAAGAAAAGTCCCCCCATAACTTCAGTCTGTAAAAATCAGCGGGGATTGTTGCTGAGTGACACAGAGGCTGCTGGAGACCCTGGTGTCCTTCTTAAAGGGCCCACTCATGAACTTAAACAGTCTCGCTTCCTCTGAGTTCCAGCACCGGGTGGCGGGTTTGGGGGAATCCAAGGACATACTGGGGGAGGAACTGGACTCTCTGGCATTGGGGAAGGAACTCAGGGGTGGCTTTCTCCCAGACATGGGTGCTCCCAGAAGTCATTGTTCCGGTCCTGGGACCTTCCTTATCACAGAGCTGATTGGCAGCCATACTTGAGTTTCCATCGGCTTGGCCCACACTATTCACTCCACCCTGGTGATTCCCTGAGACCCTACCCCATTCAATTTGCAGCCCCACTCAAGCTGTTTTGCAGCTATTTTTCCATATGAATGACCTGTCCTTGCTCAGGCTTCAGGCTTTGTGAAAACCTCTTAAACAAGCAGCAGCTGCAGTCACTGTGCCCAAAACCTATCAATAAAAGACCCAAGACTCAGAACTAGCACCAACTTGCCTTGCTTCACAACTGGACCTCACCTGGGCACTTCCTACCCCAACATAAGTAGCAGCCATCTGTAGCTCCTGCCAGGTGGCCCCAAGCAGTAGCTGACTTTACACCTCCCAGGAAGCACCAGAGCCAGTGCATCTGGTGGACAGCTTCAAAACATACTAGATTACAAATCTACATACCCATAATTGCCACATTCAAGGGGCAGACCCAGTGAGCACCAATGCCACACTGAAGCAAGTCTTGCTCCACAGGGGTGTCTCCTGCACAGCAGCTCTTCCACTGTACTTGCAGCTGGTCCTCACAGCCAGTTGGCCTGGGGGTCAATCCCTTCCAGTGATGCCAAGAGCAAGCAAGGCTCAACTACAACAGGACAGTGTACACAGCCCACACAGGGGTGCACCTAGATTGTCCAGCTCAGGTGACTGGGGAAACTGAGCCACTGGGCCTTACAAAACACCTAATATACAAGACCAATCTACCAATTCCAGGAGACATAGTAGCTCTTCCTAATACATAGAAACAAACACACAGAAGCAGCCAAAATGCTGAGACAAAGAAACATGTTAGAAAAGAACATGTTACAAAAGAAATGGAAGCAAGCAAACTACTGGATACAGAGTTCAAAACAATGGTTATAAGGTTACTCAAGGATCTTAATGAGAGCTTCAAGGAACTTAATGAGAGCTTCAAGGAAATTAATGACAATGTTAAAGGACTTAGTGAAACTTTCAAGGATCTTAGTGAGAATTTCAAAGACATGAAAAAGGACCAGTCAGAAATTAAACATACACTAACTGAAATCAAGAATAATTTACAGGGATTCAACAATACAGTAGAGGATTCTGAGAATCAAATCAACTATTTGGAATATGAGGAAGCAAAAAACAATCAGAACAGCAAAAAGAAAAAGAGAATAAAAAAATATGAAGATGGTGTAAGGAGTCTCTGGGCCAACTTCAAATGTATCAATATTTGCATTATGGGGGTGCCAGAAGGAGAAGAGAGAGAGCAAGATACTGAAAACTTATTTGAAGAAATAATGACAGAAAACTTCCCCTACCTGGTGAAAGAAATAGACTTATAAGTACAGGAAGTACATAGAGTCCCAAACAAGAGGAACCCTGCTGAGACTGACAAGTAGACCCTGAGCAATGGATGAATGATTACTCTGACACACATTTCTGTGAAAGAGAGGGCTAAGGGACTGCTTGGCTAAAGTAATCAGATAGTCCCATTCATCTGCCTCCTTAGGCTTTTATCGTAACAACAGTTGAATTAAACTTAACTATTAGATACTATCACCAAGGTAAGTATCCTTGAGAAGACACATGCATCTGTAGTGTCCTTTAAGCAAAGACATCTAAAGAATAAAGATTCCAGCAAAACGCCCAGGGGCTCAGACTTGTTTGGAAAAGTCAAGGCAGGGGCTGCTGCCTTTGGCAAGGTACCCCTAGAGGCCTCCGACCTTTTGGAGAATCCTCCTTACAGACTTTCCAACCAAGTCTCATGCTTCCCCACAGAACCCAAAGAGGCCCACACCAAGATACATGATAATTAAATGCCAAGGGTTAAAGACAAAAAGGAAATTTTAAAAGCAACAAGAGAAAAACAGTTAGTTACCTATAAGGGAGTGCCCATATGACTGTCAGATGATTTCTCAACAGAAACTTTTCAGGCCAGAAGGGAGTGGCAAGAAATATTCAAAGTGATGAATAGCAAGGACCTACAACAAAGATTACTGTACCCAGCAAAGCTATCATTTAGAATTGAAGGTCAGATAAAGAGCTTCCCAAACAAGAAAAAGCTAAAGGAGTTCATCACCACCAAACCAGTATTACATGAAATGTTGAAGGGTATTCTTTAAGAAGAGAAAGAATAAGAACAAAAGAAAAAATATGAACAATAAAATTGCAATAAATACATATCTATCAACAATTGAATCTAAAAATCAAAATAAATGAACAAAAAATCTAATGAAGAAAAGAAACTGATTAATAAAATAGAATCAGTGGCATGGAAACATGGAACAGACTGATGAATCTCAGAGGGAAGGGGG